AGGTGTGACGTAAGTGCCCTTTCAAAACTCAAAGTGCCCCTTTCTGTGAAGAAATACTCTGCCTTTTTATATTCCAAGAGGGGACTCAGACTCTAGGTTTATCAGAAGTCACTATTTTCAAATTACTTATGCAGGTGAAAAATAATTTTCCATGCAAGGTTTCGCCCGAGGTATAGTTTCCTCTTAAGCCTAATTCACTATTTTATTTTATTTTTTAATTGGTGAACTGTACCTAATCCTGTGTCACCCAATTAAAAATCAATTTAATACACACCGGTGTTTCCTCTAAGCAATCTTAAGCTTACCTTTCTCTCACTTTCCCACCAATAATTCAAAAAATCAATGTCAAGTAAAATCGCGAGTTTAATAACTTCTCATTTTCCCCGTGTCCTTAAATATTTAATATAATTTCCGAAATATCTTCAATTTAGAGATAATTAATCCCCTTTTCGAAGATAAATTACCGCTTTCTTCCTAATTGGTATAAAACCGTACTTGGTCGAACAAATCGCTTTTAGAATTCCCAAGAACCATGCTATCAGAGAACTTTGAATTAATTATATTCTCCAGCAAAAGCATTTTGTATAGGTGCATTTTGTTCCCTCTCAACGTCGGGAGTTTCATTTCGGGGGATGAATTTTCCCGTTTTCCTGTTTAAGAGATAAGGAGTAGATGGTTGCATAGCAGCTCAGGCGTGCATCGAGCAATTATAGTGCAATTTAATAATTTTAAGATCTTTTGAAACGTAACGTAGTGTGCGGTTTAATGCTACGTTGTAACCTGTTCGTGTTTGTTTCGAGTTTTAGGGCGGTTTCGAATTCGACGAGGGAAATTTTATTCAATTTTAAAGTAAGATGCCCATTTTTTTTAAAGCAAAAGTCAGTGTTAGATCATTCCCTCTTTACACAACTTTTTTCTATTACATTTAATTTATTTGTTATTTATTTTTTCATAAGCGCTTATCATAAGTCATAAGTGCTTATCATACTTATCATAAGTAAGTTTATTATATTATTTATTTTATCATATTTACATTATCATTTTATCAAATTTACTTAATTTAATTTTTTGAAGAAACTTTTTTTCTTTTCTTGATTTAATGTTTTTACTGTTTGTTATCATACAACATAAGAAATATAGTTCATCTTTATATTTTATTGAACTTGGAAGAGATTTGCTTGATCAAGAAAAATTTGGCTCCGTCATTGGCCACTTCAGAATGTGTTTTTTTTTCCTCCAAAGAGCCAGACCCTTCATAAATAAATTTATCATAAAACTGAATCTTTCTCAAATAACTATATTGTAAAAATCTGACCTTCCTAATTTATTTTATCAAAAAAATAGACCCTTCTGAATTTTTTTTTTTTTATTTATTTTTTTTTTTACTTATNCCTCTGTCGTAAGAAATTTTTTTTTTTTTGTAAAAAAAAAAAGTACCTTTCAAAAAATATTTTTCTTAAAACTAGATTGTCACAAATTATTTAATTGCAAAATGGACACTTCATGAAATATTTTAAATATTTTTTTTCTGCCAAAAACCGAACCTTATTTTAAGAATTCTCAAAAAACGATCCTGGTCGAGGGAACTTTATATTATTGTAAATTTAGATTTAGAACATTGTAAGTTGATTTTTCACAAAATCATCACCTTTCATAAAAGTACTGGGCATATCACCAATTTTCGTGATTTTTCATAAAATCAAATAAATGCAATATCATTTTCAAAAAATTATGAATAGCGAATAATGAATTAATAATAAAAATAATGAATAGCTGAAACTGCCAATGTTATGGTGCAACCATTAAACTCATAACTTCAGTTGTCATTAAGTGGTTAAACAAGCAGTAGCGAAATAACAAATGTTTATTCATAACGTTCATTGTAGTTGAGATAAATGAACAATATTGTCCAAGCAGGAAAAAAAAACTATTAGGAAACCATAACTTCGAACGTAGAAAATCGGAAGGCTTTAAAATCGCTTTTGCTTGTATTCTCTACTAATAACTATACTTTAATGTTAGTAAACAATTAACTTTCGCGAATAACTGTTCATGTGAAATAATAATGGCATTAATGGGTCGGTTGGCTAATTGAATTATAACTCTTTGCAATTATACTTTTTATTTTAGTACTGACCTTACGGAAAAAAAAGTATTTTTAATCCAACAATCGTTCGTATGCGAATTAGGTTTATATTTGAGTAAAAACTTTACGCTGCTAATAACACACGATCTGGATTTGTTTAAAAATTTCGCATTTTTTCTGTATTGCAACAATTTGATATTAAGACTACCTCGCTATTTTCTTTAATGACTCGAACTTTTTTTTTATAAAAGAAAAATAATTATTGTTTTCTAAAAACGTTTCTAAAGAATTATTAAAAAGACAATTTCAGAAAGAAATCTTCCTGCTTTCTATAGTTGAGTATTTTCTGGATTTAGAAGCTATTTCCCATTTATGGTAATTTTCCTTCCAAACATTTATCTCTAAGTAAAAGTTACTTCACCATTTCGCTTAAAATTATTCATTCATTTCCAAAGAATATCGTTTGCTTTTGTGGAATATTTTACCATTCCATTCTCCTGAAAAGCGTATCTCTTACTAACTTTTGAGGAACTTTTCCCTCCCGCGGAACGCTATGAAAATTGCACTGCATTTAATAATATCAACCCATCCCCGAAAACGATCCCCTTTTCATCTTGCTATCTCTTATCCCTCATTGTCTTCTAACGAATCTTTTCGCGCCAACCTAACAAAAGGAACAGGCCATCGCCAAGTTAGCTTTTCCATCAAAAGCTAGACGGAAAGAAAGGATTCGATTTAGACGCCCAATTGGGTATCCCCCCCCCTTTTGCCTCCCCTCTGTGGTGTGGCAAAAGAGAATTAAAGGGATTCCTAATTAGTCCTCTTAGGGAAAACGGGGTGCTTTAAAGGCATGGGCTTTTAAAAGGCGTTAGCAACCAGGACTAAAGGAAAGATAGCAATGGTGTTGTCGACTTTTGACTTCTAAATATTCAGTTCTTTTTCTTTCTTTCATTTTTTTTTAAGTCTTTCCATGTTGTGATTGCGATTGCTCGTCTTGGTTAACACAACCAATGGCATGAGTTAATTGGTTTTAAAGCAATTTCTGGTTGTGATTGTGCTTTTTTTGTTGTTAGTGATAGCAGTAGATAACAGTACTTTGAGAAAGTGCTGTTATCTGGGTTGCCGAGGATCTGATTGCTGTCCATGCTTGAAAAGGTGATTAATTGGTGTGTTAAGTTTATGAAAAGTGTCCTAATTGCGAGTGAAAATGCAACTTGATGATAATCTTGTGTTTAATTCTACAAATATTTGCTAAGTGAAATAATCCTTGTTGTTCTTTCCTGTTCTAAATTAGAAAATGTTCCAAACTTAAGTCTTAAACTGAAATTCGAAGCCCTAAATTAAAAGTTAATATCCTGAACTAAAGTTAACGTTGCTAAACCAAATAACCTAAACTAAACTAAATGCCCTAAACTAAAATAAATGTCCTAAATCATTTTGTTTACTTTTTTTGTATCTTCCTATAAGTGATTGTAATTGCTTTTTTTTTCTGTTAACACCATGAAAAGCGTATGTTAATTGGTTTTAAAGCAACTTCTAATTGTAATTGTGCTTTTCTATTTACATTGGAAAAGTAATGTTATCTGGTTGCAAAGAATCTAATCGCTGTTCATGCTTTAAAAGGAGATTAATTAGTTTCTTTTAAGTTTCTGACAAGTATCATGTTTGTGAAAAATGCAGCATAATAATATTGTGATTAATTCTAAAATTATTGCCCTTGTTAAATATTCTTTTTTTCCGTTTCTTTCCTGCTCTTAATTAAAAAAAATTCTAAATATAAATTCAAAACTAAAACGTTAATCTCCTATACTATAAGTTGACATTCTACGCCATATGTTCACATTCTTAAACTATAAGTTAAAGTCCGAAACTAAACTAAATGCTCTCCACTACACTAAATTAAATGATTTAAACTAAACTAATCTAAATGTTCTACACTAAACTAAACTAAATCAAATGATCCAAACTAAACTAAATGTTTTGAACTAAACTAAGCTAAACGTTCTAGACTAAACCAAGCTAAATGTTTTTAATTCATTTATTTCCTAAACCACTTTCTTTAATTTTTATATATTTTTGTACAGTAATTCTAATTGCTCGTTTCGGTTAACACAATGATAGGCGTGAGTTATTTTGTATTAAAACGATTTCTCGTTGGGTTATTCATTTTTCTACTCACTTTAAAAAAATGCTGTTATTCAATTGCTGCCCATGATCAAATGCATGTTAAATTAATTTAAATTGATGAGAAGTTGTGAATAAAAATGCTGCATAATATCATTGTTATAATTATCTCCAAAAAATTATTATAACTTCTAAAAGTTAGCCGAATATACTGAAAAACTATAAGTAAAACGAAATAAAAAAATCTTGATTCATCTGTCTAGTGTCTGTAAAGTGTTTTCTGCATGTTTTATAGTTTTAATAATTCTTAATTTATAGTCGTGATTTATTATATATTTTAGTTTTATAAACGGAAAGTACTAGGTTAGGTATTTTCACATCACTTTCCATAGTATAATGAGTAAAAAAACATGCTCAAAACTACTAGAATATGGTAAAATTTATCATAGCGATCTATATTAACACCAAGAATTTCGATAATTTTTGCCGAAATATTTTGATAATGATTTTGGTAAAATTAGCAGTGAAACGTGGTTTTATAATATGCAATACAAAAAATTGGTAAATGTGGTGAAATTCAGTAGTTTTGAAAACCAGAATTTTCGGTAAACTATTATCATATAACTAAAAAAATAAGCCATACGAATAATTTTATATACCGTATATTTTGATTTTATTAACCAGAATTATGATATTTTTTACGAGAAATACAATTGCCGTACAGTACGGTAATTTCACCAGAAATCTTTTATCTGTGCAGTTTTTATAAGAAACCTTTTTTCCTTTTTAGGTACGAAAATTGCTTCAGGTGTGTTGTTTTGCATGAAAAGCATATGAATGTACTGCAGTATAAGGAAAGTAAGTATACTGCTTTATTTTAATTTTTATGTTACATGCCTAGGGCCTAGCTTTAGCCTAGGGCCATAATTTTTATGTTACATTCCTAGCCCAGTGATTAGAGAATCGGACTCCAGTTTGGGGAATTCATGCAATAAATCTGTGGATTTGAAAGACCTTTGGTCGGTCGCTGAGCAGCTCCGTGAGCACAGGGATCTGGAGAAAATTTCCTTCCCCTTCAGATTTCTAAATTAAGGAATTGTCCTCACAAATGAGAGGATCAAAATTGTGATGTCATGTCTTCTGATTATCCTCAGGGATGTTTGCCTGCTCGTCGCCAATAGCCCAAATGCGCAGCTGTAGGGCGACGTAAATAAAGCCTGCCATGCTATATACCAAATGAATGCAACATAAATTTACCTCTCAGCAACATTAATAACATTTTTATTGCTGTTTTCCAACCTTTTGGGGCCACAGCACAGCTCCACATTCTCAAATTCTGGACGTATAAGCTGGAAAATATTATATAATCAAAGCAATAAGAGCATAAGCAATAAGAGGTAGGTTTTTATATTAACCCATTCCCTCTAAGGGCAACATTGTGGCGAAACATCTTATTTGCATTATATTATAATGTTGACGATTGTCATAACTAAGTGGTATAATTGGTAAAAAAGTGGTCTATTGTCATAACTCAGATTATGTAAAATTCAGCCGCATTGTTAGAAAAGGGCGTTTAGGCATTAAATGTCAATAATTGAATTTATCAATCCACAAAATCTGGAAATGACGATATTGTTTTTTTAAAGATCATGAATATGGTAATGCGTGTGTGTTTTACTCCCTAAACCCTAAAGCTGTTTTATTTCCAATTACTATGTAAATGCTATTATATATTTTTTTGGTCTCTGAAGCTAGGGAAAAAAAACAGTAGAGGGAGGGGGAGTCAAAAAATTTTTTGTTTTGTTTTCTGTCATTACAATATGCGAGATAATTAATTTAATTTGGATTAGTTTTTTTACATTAAAATAACCCGCAAGTTCCAGCTGTTTTCATTTTACCATTTTTTATTGTTATTACTTTTTTTTTATTCATTTTTAATCATCTCACTATCAAATGGTTGTTTGAACTTTTTTTGTAGTGCTTTTAAGAAGAATTTGGAAGCAAAAATGAAAATTTGCGATAGCACAAAATAATAAATGTCCTACTTTTTCAAGCTTAATAATTAAGAGCTTAAGATAAGGATTAAGATAATAATTAAGAGCTGAAGAAGAAATATCGTTATTTTATCAATTACATTAGGGACGCTCTTTTGTTGCATTTATACAAATACTTGATCTTGCCTAATTCGGGTTTGAAGATTTTAAATTTGATTAATTTTACTCCTAAAGCGACAGATTTGTTTCTCTTTTTTTTAAATTTAATTTTTAGTTTACTTTATCATCGAAATGTTTGAATTTAAAAACATTATATATAACAAGGAATCGCGTAAATGTTGCGGCAAACTTCTAGAGGTGTCAGGCTATAGCTTGAGGAATCCTTATAGTTTTATATTATCAAATCAATTAAATTTGTTTTCTATGAAGAATTATCAGTTAACTTGAAGTTCTTGAGTGTTTTAACTGTTTGAAAAGTTTTGTTTTTAGGTTGTGCTTATGTTTCAACTGTATCCAATTTCGGGGGAACTAAATTAAAATATAGTTGCAACAGTTTTTTTGAAATTAAACCACGAAAAAAATTATCTTCCATCTGCTAAATATTCGCAGAAATTTTTTTTTATTTACTTGTTTTTAGTTTTAATTAATTGAAACCAGTAATGATTTATGAAAGTTCTCATATTTGTTTGAAATGTTAAGCGGGCTTTTAGAAATTATTTCCAGTTATTTATTTGGGTGTATACTAGAGATGAGCTCGGGCTCGTTTTTGAAGGTCCGAGCCCGAAGAATTTCAATCCGAGCCCGAGATACGTAGGATATACGTCGGATAAAAGCTGAATTTCGCAATGTCGTCACCCAGCCTTTGATGTCTAAGCAAGAAAATTAGTTAATTAAAAACTTTACTATCACCAACCTTTGAAAGAAAAAACAAAAAGAGAAACTTAACCGTCTGAAATTTCAAGACGGCTAAAACAAAAATTAAAGAAGAAAATCAAAATATTAAGCTAAATAAATGTCATGTGACAATTAGTGCTAATAGCTTCACAAAGCAAAAAGCACCGAACAAAATAAGCAGATCGCTGAAATTTTTATAGCTTAGAAATTTTACATTTTTATACTTAATAACAGAACAAAACATTTTTTTAAATTTTATTTTATAACCGTCGTTGAACAGCCGACCCAATTTTATGGATTTACGACTGCTAATGTTCAACTCCGTAGCCTTGTAATTTTGAACCCAATCCAAAAGACAAAAAAACTCCTGGATCGAGCATTGGGAGAAATTTGCCTTCCTGGAGAACTTTTCGATGGAGAGGAAGACCCCGAGAACTTCCCACGGTTAGCCTGACTACAAGGAAACTCTAACCCACGATCCGTCTACCACTGAGGATATTTCACGTTTGCACTGTGGTCGGTGCAAGCCGGATGCGGAATTCGTATCGACTGGGATTCGAACCCGGTTGGCCTCATGAGAAAGCGAACGCTCTATCCCCTGAGCCATCGTGGCTCATAACCAAAAATTTGTTTAAAATTTGTAAAAAAAAATATAGAATTTTTTTTATCCTGAATCCGAGTTTGTCCCCAAACCGATACATTTTTCCAGCAAACGTCGGGCCCGAGCTAGGGCTGAGCCCGTTTTATCTTTAGCTTACACCCACCGTCTCCCTTGCCAAAGACACCAATAAATCTTAAGGTTTACTTATCAAAAATTTCTTTTGGGCATTATTGCAATAACTTAAAATATTACAAAGACATGAAAAGAGTTTTTTTTTAATACAGAAAACTTTTAACAGTTTTTATATCTTACGAAAGTTTCAAAAAACTCAATATTCTATCGTATTCTTTCAAACTCTCCTTATCAATTGTACTTCTCCCTGTAAGTTGAATCTTAAGGTTTACTTATCAAAAATTTGTTTTGGGCATTATTGCAATAACTTAGAATATGACAAGGACATGAAAAGAGTTTTTTATACAGAAAACTTTTAACAGTTTTTATATCTTACGAAAGTTTCAAAAAACTCAATATTCTATCGTATTCTTTCAAATTCTCCTTATCAATTGTACGTCTCCCTATAAGTTGAATCTTAAGGTTTACTTATCAATAATTTGTTTTGGGCATTATTGCAGTAACTTAGAATATGACAAAGACATGAAAAGAATTTTTTATACAGAAAACTTTTAACAGTTTTTATACCTTACGAAAGTTTCAAAAAATTCAATATTCTATCGTATTCTTTCAAACTCTCCTTAAGTTGATAGAAAGGATCAGATAGATCTGTTTTACCTAAAGATCTTGGATACATAATGTTTTATGTATAGACAAGCTCGTTCTCTCTTTCAATACAAGGATTGCAGAAAACTATCTTCGCCAAGTGAGTAAATAAGAAAAAGGAAGAAGAAGAGGAAATAGACATGCCAAAAAACGCTGGTTTTTCTATCTTTTCAATACCTTTCCTTTTCACGTGGTTTAAAAGCATTTTAAATGCAAATTGAAATTTCGAAAACTGTTCACCTAGGCCAGTGCTTTTCTTCAGAAATATGTGCATTTCTTGAAGTTGCAGCCATATTGCTTGGATAAGTTTGAATTTGGAAAAGTGGAATTTTTATGGTGTGTTGTAAAGATATATTCTTTGCAATTGATTCACGTTCTTTTAAAAACATGTTTGAAACGTTTTATCTTAAAAGTTTGCTCGACATGGTTGTGTTTTTTTACCTGACGAATGCTAAACGTGTTTTGACTAGATGGAAAGTATTGCTGTAAATATTTTGAGCCAGCTTTAGAACGTTTTAAATTATTTGGTACTTCTTTTACTTTTAAGTATTACAGTAAATTCTGTTTACTTTGAAAATCATTTCCGACTTCAAATTTTAAGAAAGTATAAAACATGGAACATCAAGCATATATAAATTAGTACTGCTTAAAAGTGAATAAGTACTGTTAAAAGTTTTTAATGTAAGTTCTATTCTTTGTAAGATGGGTTTATGGGAGAAAAATGCATCATTTAAATGTATTCAGTATTTCTTTACAAACATTTTTGAACTGTTTTGGATATTTTAAAGAATTACTTGATGACTCGTAATTTAGCTTTGAGTCATTTCAATATCTTATCCTATTATTCAGCCTAAAGGGTAAAAAATGGGACGTTCTTGAATGATGTCACACTTGAAGACGAGGGAGAGGGTTTGCGACAATTAGTGACAAGGGGGGGAGTAACAAGAAATGTGGCACATCTTATATATTGGTTTAAATAAAAATATTTAAAAATCAGAACATTAAATATTTTTGTATTGTTTTATATTTTATTGTTTTATATTTGTCCTTTTCTTCAATAAAATAATCATTATGATTGTTGTGCTCACAAATGCGATTGAAAAACGTAGCTAAAGTTTAAAAATGAAATTTGGAATATTATCTATAACATGTTTACTTTCTGAACTGCTTGCATATATTTTTATAATATAATATGACATGTGACAAAGGGGTATTGGGAAGTGTGCTATTTTGTGAGAAAGGGGAGAAAGGGTGAAAAGTACTATTGAAAATGTGCAATTTATGGACGACTGTTAACAAAAGTAAATCGTATCGCAATCAGAAAATATTAATCTTCATCACCGAGACCTTTCTACCATGATTAAGTCAAATTTTTATATTATTAACATGAGAATATACATACATTGATCTTTAGAATATCACGTATTAATTTATTATAATTTTTCCAAATTAGTTACGGGACCATTTTGTTTTACCTCAAACTTAACGTAAAGCAATAATAACTAGGATAAATATATCTCTTTATAGTTTTCTCAGCAACAATTGTACAGTAATTTCTTTTTACTTTTGACTTAACCTGCAACAAACTGCTTTATATATGAGTATTTAGATAATGACTTTTTTTAAATTCAAATTGTTCTTGTGTTGGAGCTGTATGTTCAATGTTTTTTGCAGGTCATTGCTCTAATGATCCACAGCTACAGAGTATAGATTCCTTATGTGCTGAAATAAATGGAGACGCTCTTCTTTATTCAATGTTCAGGCGTAAGTGTGATAATCGTTCGTATATGTTAATTATGTATGCTTGAAAACTGTATCTTACAATAATAGCGATTGCATTTCTTAAAGAAAAAAAGTCATAATTATTTTTTTAATAATAAGTGTTTTAAAAATAATATGCTTGCACAAACTTAAAAATTTAACAATTATTTTATTTATTATATTTTTGTGTAGTTAGGTTTGTTGTATTTCACTTTGTAGTAAGGAACAGTCTGAATTGAAAGAAATCTCGAATATTCTTATGACAAGTATATTTTTCTTTCAAACACTAGGGCCCGACTAGGGTGATCTTGGGCAATTGGTCTGAACTTCAGATTAGTGCTGCTGCCTTTTGAAAATGTGTAATTTTTAGTTTTCACAACGCAGTTTATTATTTATTAAATTTATTTTTTCTAGATTTCGAATAGTAAATCCTTAATTTTAATGTCCTCTTACATATTGGCTAAATATGGCTCAGTTGCAATAAATATATTTTATTAATGCGTTTTAAGGGCCGCTTCAGACTATGTGACACGATCCAAGGCCCCATAGTCTCATGTGTTAATTAAGTTCTGTCAAACACTAGTTACGTCTCCGGTTGAGATTAAAAAAGCCGTTTAAAGTTGATAAAACTGCTGTTAACACATAAAACACATAATATTTTTTTTATTCATTTTTTTTATTTCCAATGGCCGAGGCCATGAACAAGAATAGAATTTTGAAGAATAGAATAATAGAATAAAATAAAAATATAATAATAGAATATAATACGAATATAATACGAATATAATACTAGAATGGAATAATAGGAATAGAATTTTGGCTACTTGTATATTTTTCTTTTAAAATCAGTTTTAATTCTGTTATCTAAAATCCTTAACGGTTTATTTGGAAGATTTCACTCGATAATAAACAACAAATTTTTTTAAAAAAATAATAATAATCTTTTACAATTGAAAGTTTTGCCAGGAATTACCAGGAATTTAATTTACGTATAATGGTAGTTGAATTAATCTATCTTTTATTGTTTTACTATTCAAATATTGCGATGAGTTTTGTTTGCAAGACTTTGTGGTAGATATTAGTTTATGCGCAAAGAAGTATACTTCTAAAATGGAGCAAACTGAGAACACATTTAGTTGAAGAAAAATATTTTATACGTAAAAAGCTTAAGTGTAATTTATTCTAATATAAATGCCCTTTCATTTTTTACCTTTATCTGTTTAATTTTGGGAAAGACAGCTGCTATATCTTTCTATTCAGTGATAATAATTTAATGTAATCATTAAAAGATAATTTAAATTTCAAGCCAAGAAAAAAAAAAAAAAAAAAAAAAAAAAAAAAAAAAAAAAAACTAACTACTCATAAAGAACATCTTTAAAACATATGGCAGAGCTTTTACTGCCATATGCCGCTTTCCCAATTATTTAATCTGTTTCTTTACAATCTATAAGCTCAAATTGCACTAATTGATTTAATTATTTTTTGTTTTCAATGTTTATCAAATCTAAAATTTTATCAAACTGGAAAAAAAAGGGGAAAAGTTTATTATCGCTATTTCCAAAAACTGTCGTTTCTTGAAGAAACCCATTTCAGTCTAAAACGTACCCGGGTAAAATGTTTATTTCCTAATTCAATTAACTCGATATTGCCCATTATGTTTCCAAGAGCTGTGAAAAGACTGCCCAAGGCATAATCTTTTAAATTGAAAAATTCCTCTATTCTTCTTGGATCATTAACATTATTGATCCCTTGCCTATATTCGGTTTTTTTTTCTCCTCCTTTTCTTTAAAACTTCCACTAGTAATAACGAAATTTAATTTTGGCGGATTTTGGCTAGCGCCGAAACTATCCCTTTAGACTTTTCGAGCTCATTTAAGCCCACAATACTTTAAATGTATATTTTTCTTGGTATAATATGTTTTCTTTCATTAACGAAAGTGTCTAGTTTAAATTTTTCGGAGTTTAATCGCAAAATAAATTAATACCTTCGAAAGAATATGTTTCTTTGCCTTATAATTTAATTTATTCTGTCGTGGTAAATTCCAGACGAATTTTCTCCTAGCTGTAGGGTTTTTCCTTTTTGCCGTTTTCATCAAATCGTCTAATTCAAAAAGGGTAAATAATAAAAGTAACTGCTCAGTTCCTTGAAATTATATCAACTAAAGTTAAATTTAATACTAAATAGCATTTTCAATTACTTGCAAATGATATTTCCAAAAAGAGTATTTTAGTGAATGCGGAAAAGAAAACGATTTATGTTACGCAGGCCAAAAAAGCTCGTGAATTCAACTTTAAAAATCTAATTAGTTTTTTGAAATTTTCCATCTTTGAATTTTCATTTAGATATCAATAAATTTGTTCTTTAATTTTAAAACTCATCCCAAATTTCAAAATGTCCTCGTATCGATGTTTTCTAGAAGAATAAAAGTACTTAGTTTTGATAATGGCAACACACATAAGAAATTATAAATTTGTAATTGAATATCTGCAACTCAAGAAAAAAGACCGCTGAAATCACATGATTGTACAAAAACAAGATGGCGTATTAATGTTTCAGCTAGTAGGCTTGGTTTATTATTGCACTGATTTCAATTAGCTTTAATTGGGTACCTGCTGAAGACCTCACGATTGGGTGTCGAACCTGATTCGCTGCTGAATTGTATCACAAACAAATGCCACGACTTAGCAGCGAATCAGGTTCGACATCCACTCTTGACGTCTTGTTCAGGTATCCGATCAATCAATGAAAATTATAAGAAAATTTTCTTACTTTGATAAAAAAAAAATGGCAAAATGGTAATGATCAGCCTCCAGTATTCCTGAGAACAAGATAGTCTGATAAATAAAATCTTCTAAATTGCTTCGACCGCCTTGTTAATGGTTATAAAACATTACTCTCTTAAAAACCGTCCTGCTGAACAACTTGAAAATGTGGCATATTATTATATTGCCATAATCCCTTCCTATATCAGTCAGTCTCTGTAAGAACAAGATGCACTTATTTATAATACCTTTTCGCTTGCTTCGACAACCTTGTAAATGGTTGTATGTATTAAACTATTAAAAACCACTGTGCTGAACAACTTGAGAATGTGGCTTATCATTATAATGTTTGAATCTCTTCATGTGTTAAAATCTTTCAGTAATGATCAGCCTCTAGTCTTCTTAAGAACAAGATGGGCTGATTTACAATATTTTTCAATTGTTCGACAACCTTGTAAATGGTTAATAAGCATTATGCTTTTCAATCCCGCCCTCTTGATCAACTTGAGAATGTGGCTTATCATTATAATGTTTGAACCTCTTTATGTATTAAAATCTGCAGTAATGATCAGTCTCTAGTCTTCTTAAGAACAAGATGGGATGATTTACAATATTTTTTTCACAACCTTGTTAACGGTTATAAAATATTACGCAATTAAACACCTGACACGTTTGTGTTGGTGATTTTTAACACTAGCTTCTTTTGAGCTTACTGATATATCCCCCCCCCACTCAACTGGCAATCTTGATTTTTGTCGGTTTTCTAGCCGTCACCTGTGCTCTATCCTCTTAAAAGGCGGTCTTATAATCCTCTTATTTCCAACTCCTCCTATAAGCTGCCTATTTAAGACCGCCTCTTTAAACACCATTCATCTGCATTAGGGGTCTTATAATCCCCGTAATTGCTCCATTTCATTTTCTACCTTCAAACGTGAAGAGAACTTGGAATTATCTTAAACCAAAACTCTCTGGTTTGTGTGCCAAAGAAAAAAGCGAAAGAAACTCTTTTCTTTTTAGGCCTCCATTAGACGTTTACCTTTTGATGGTTTTTGGCGAAATTTTGTTGGTAGCTATGGCGACGGTTTAGGTGGAATAGACTACCGAGAAGAAAACGCTCTTAAAGAACCTTTCTCTTTCATTGAAGTGTAATTAGAACCGATAGAAAGTTGCAAACGCCAGCTCGATCGCCGCCTAAGTCAGCAAATGAAATTGAGAGTGGTTTCGAGCGGAATTGTTTGAGTGAGAAGATATAGTTGAACTGATTTTTTTCGAGGAATCAATGGGTACTTTACTATGTGAAGTAAAAGTAAAAACATTGACTTTAGAAAAAACTTTTATGGTATTAGTATGTTCTTCTATGTCGATCTTTTCTTTTCCTTATTGCCGTGTTTTGGTATAAGCATTTTCTCTTTTACTTTACCTGTTTTTTTAAAGTGCGCATCGCTAAAAGAGTTCTACTTTATCGAGCAATTTTCAGTTCTCTATCTGATTAAATCTGGAAGGTTTTGAACAAAGCGACTAGGAAGGGGAAAAAAACGCCATATCTATGTATCAGCTTTTGTAGCTTTGTGATTGCTTGAGTTTTGCTGATTTGAATGTCTTTTTTCGTTCAAACGATTTATTTTGTTTAATCTACTCTTAAGTTTGTTCCATTTGCTGTTTTAAAAAGATTCTATTTTTGTTTGTTTGGGATTTCGCTTTTGTGTTGGGATATTCTAAAAGCATCAAACCTGTAGAATAAGTCAAATTTTCAAGCGCAACTTTCATTCTTTACACGCAAAAGAGGTTAGTCAAACCTCCATACGGTTTTATAATCGACTTCCTAAAAAAATAGATAATTGGAACAAGCAAACTTCTAACATAAAATCGCTGGTCTTGACTAATATTCTAATAGTACACTATTTTTATGGTGGTTCTTAAGGACGGGAGAAAATTTTTGTTTTTTTAATTCTCCAATAAGTGGATTTGGAGCTTTAAATTCCGCCTTATTTTTTTCACACTTTCCTATAACAGTTGGCTCTAAAGCACAAACTGGTTCCATTTATAGCTAGTCAAATCAGAAATGTTTTCATAAACATGTAAAGAAGCTTTCAGATGTTGGTGGTGACGGTTCAGTAGTTAGGGAGCTGTTACTGAACCGCCATGAACCTGTAGCATTATTCATTTTTTTCAAACTGGTAGTCATATTTATATTACGGAATCTTATTAACCGATTAACTTTTGCTTAGCTGAAAAATATTTAGTTTACAATAGTTTTGTTATGATGCCATTGTAGCAGCTCCTCATCTGGCCTCAACAAATATGATTTAGAGTTTATTTGAGGTAAAATGAATGATTGGTACTTACTCCTAAGCACTCTGTTGAAATTCTACATACTGATATTATCTATTCCGTTTTGGCCTTTTTCATTTTCGTTTTATCTTAGTGTTTGTATGAAAGGTTTGGGTGATCACACTTTCTTCAAAGGGTTAAATTTTCGCATTCCATAGTATTGTAGCAGATAGGAAATTTATTTTTTATATTATAACCGTCGTTGAACAGCCAACCCAATTTTGTGTTTACGTTCAATGTTCAGCTGCGAAGCATTGTAATATTGAACCAATCCAGAAGACAAGGAAACTCCGGGATCATTACCCCTAGAAGTATGATTTGTTATGGGAACATGGAGGACTTTGTCACTTGACAAATTTAACATGCATCAGTCACCATTTACTACACGGGGAGTCTTCGACCGACGGGGATCGAACCCATGACGTCTTGGACATGGGCCCAATGCCCTACCAACCAGGCTATCCCGGACCCTAGATAGGACATTTACACGTTTCTTTAATTTTCAGCAAATGGCTGCACGATGCGCGGAAGCATCTTTGCACCTAAATGAAACTTTTTTTANTGCGAAGCATTGTAATATTGAACCAATCCAGAAGACAAGGAAACTCCGGGATCATTACCCCTAGAAGTATGATTTGTTATGGGAACATGGAGGACTTTGTCACTTGACAAATTGAACGTGCATCAGTCACCATTTACTACACGGGGAGTCTTCGACCGACGGGGATCGAACCCATGACGTCTTGGACATGGGCCCAATGCCCTACCAACCAGGCTATCCCGGATCCTAGATAGGAAATTTACACGTTTCTTTAATTTTCAACAAATGGCTGCACGATGCGCGGAAACATCTTTGCACCTAAATGAAACTTTTTTTTTTTAAAAAAAAAGCGCCCTTGCTGTCAATCTCAAATATGTTGCTTTTCATCATAATTATATCGCACCTCCCCCCCCCTACATATCGATGAACTAGATTATTCCATTTTGAAGCTTTCCTAAATGATTTTCTCTAACATAAAATTAATATTATGTGTGCATAATTATATATCATGTGCAAATACATTAATGTTAATAATACATGAAATATGTTGCAATAATATTACAAAAAGTTTAAAAAATATTTAATAGCCAATATGACTATCGTATTTCTAATTTACTTTTTGTTGTATTACTTAATTTTTTAATTACCCTGTTATGTTTTCTTTTCCTGACAGTTAACACACCGGCTGTGCCCTGTCCTTTCAAAGGCACATACGTCTTCAGCTACAGCAGAGGACACGGAGAATGTGCCTACCCGGCGTCTACTGTAGATTCCTGCACAGACGATTCTCATTTACTGCTCAGGTTTCAAGCCTGTGCCGATGTTCTAGGATCAGAAAGTAGAAGTAAGTTACTATTCTGTTGTTGCTTATGAATTATGTTACAGAAAATAAAACTCAGATTTCTTCACTCCAGTTATTTTCAGCTACTTTTCATCATATATCTCGTGTCTCTAACAACGTGTTCTCATGTATCTCGTGTCTCTAACAACGTGTTCTCGTGTATCTCGTGCCTCTAACAACGTGTTCTCCTGTATCTCGTGCCTCTAACAACGTGTTCTCGTGTATCTCGTGTCTCTAACAACGTGTTCTCATGTATCTCGTGTCTCTAACAACGTGTTCATGTTGTTATGTTATCATTCCTTTAAAAAAAGTTATTAAATTCACTCCTAACGGAGGAAAAAAAATTTAAATGAATGTTCATGATGTTTCTGAAAAAAACAATCGAAATTTATCATCTCCAACTATAGTATCGGGGTGCATCTTCGATAATGCGGTGCATCTTCTTCAACTATTATTAATCCATTGCTGGATTAAAGCCTTCTTCAACTGTTATCAATCCATTGCTGGATAAAGGCTTTCTTAAACTATTCAATCTATTGCTGGAAAAAGGGTCTTCAAGTATTATCAATCTATTGCTGGATGAAGGCCGTCATCAAACTCATCCGAAAGTTTCGATCTTGCTTTCCTATTTACATCGGCTGCTTTTACTACTTTGTTTGTGTGGTTCATTCTTCGGTTATTTGACTTCCCATTGTTGCAAGTTCAGTTCTTTCGGTATCGTCTAATTCTTTCTAATACTTAAAATTAAAATCTGTGAAAATAGGGCATCAGACAGATCAAGAAAGAATTTTTTTTTTTGAAGAACATAATCTACACCGAATTGTCACGCAATCGAAGAAGATTTTAATTTGTGTTCGAATTCGCCAAGCGTTTGGTTTAATTACAAAACCTTTATGTAGCTCTAGTGTAGAGAGTGGAACTTTTTTACGAAAATTATCTATCACGTCGTTTGTTTTCATCGAATGATACATGCATCTCGATTATTTCCAGCCTTAACATAACGTAAAATCAATTATTCTTCTAATCTTATAAGCAATCGACGGCATGGCGGCACATATATGCACTAAAGTGCTCTGCAAGTGCAAGTAAATGCGTACTATATGAAACATCTTTCCCGTTGGTGTAAGAAAATTGAGTGCCAGAACAGACATCAATGTCATTGTTGTCATCGACCTCGATGTCTATAATACAATGTCATCGACCTCGTTGTTTATCACATTATTCGACTTCAAGAACGGTGCGGGATATCTCTAAATTACGAAAATTTTTGTAACCCTTATTCGTCGATTTTCAAGAATTTTTGGCCTAGTTTTTAACATACAATTTCTCAAATGAATCCGAAATTGAGGAATTGGAATTAGTTAACAGAACCACTAAGACAGATTTTTGTTTGAAATTCTCTTCAATGTTAGACAAAAGATTCACAAGAACAATGAGGTCAATGTCTGAGCTGATACTCTACCTTCTAACTTGCATCTTATCAGCTGGTTGCAACTTCACGGTGAAACGTTGCAGTTAAAGATTGAATCCTGACTACTAGATAACGAGGTTTGGCAACGGTTGAATATGTCGATGTTTTTAATGCAAGTCATTAATGCTCTATTTTTAATTAATTCCACATTTTAATAATTCTCAGATCATTCAACTTCATTAATGAGAACTTATTAAACGCATTCTATTCTACAATCACCAGCATTTTTATTGTTTGACTCCTATTTTGTTGATTTCTTTTCAAAGAAGCTGTTGTCTTAATAATTCATCCCATCTGTTAAAGAAGGGATTTCAAGTGAAAGAATCATTTAGCTCTCTCTCTCTACTAATGAAAATGGATTTCCCTTTTAACATCTAAAGAATTAGGGAGCCACCATCGGTGTTTGGGATAATAAAGCGTCATTATCTCCCTGAATAATTACTGAAGAATGACGCATTCCTTTCGGTAATTATCGCGCGATTATGAATTATTGTAGTTAATGGAGCTAAGTCGACGTGTAAAAGACTGATAATGTTGGTGGTTATATAATATTCTTAGCCTGTTTAACTTCGAATTTCTTGCATTTTTTACACGCATGTATTATAAGTATCTTGTTAAAGAATTAAGTTTTTACTATTATAATTTAGTGTAATCTATGAAATCTGCGTTTTAATTTTTCTCAACTTTTAATAAATGATTTTTTTTAATTCATTAGCTATGAACTAATATTGACTGTATTGTAAAATACAGTTTTATATTAGTAAGTAAATGTTTTTAACTCCTTCGTAACGGATCAAATTTAATGAATTGATTTATTATGTGATTGAAATTGAAAAGTTAATGGAAATTGAAAGCACACGCAATCAAAAAATTAACATCTGTGTTACAAATTAGCCAGGTAAATTAGCCATTAGCAATTATTGACTGTATTGTAAAATACGATTTTAAATTAGTAAAAAACAATATTTTTAACTCCTTTGGAATTGATCAGATTTATTCATTTGTTTTATGATGTAATGGATATTTATAAGTTACTGGAAATTGAAAGTATGCAATCAAAAAAATTAACATCAGTGTTACAAATTAGATGATTAAATTAGCTATTAACAATTATTGACTGTATTGTAAAATACAGTTTTAAATTAGTAAAAAAATTATTTTTAACTCCTTAGGTGCGGATTAGGTTTAATAAAATGTTTTGGTTATGTCATTTAAATAAATAAAAAAGTTACTGGAAATTGAAAGTATGCAATCAAAAAATTAACATCAGTGTTACAAATTAGATTAAACTAGCTATTAACAATGATTGACTATATTGTAAAATGCGGTTTTAAATTAGTCAAAAAATATTTTTCAATCCTTCGGAACGGATCAGATTTAATTAATTGTTTTAATGATGTTATTGGAATCGAAAAGTTGCTGGAAATTGAAAGTATGCGATCAAAAAATAAATATCAATGTTTCAAATTAAATTAAACAAGCTATTTACAATTATCGACTATATTGTAAAATGCTGTTTTAAATTAGTCAAAACATATTTTCAATCCTTTGGAACGGATCAGATTTAATTAATTCTTTTATTGATGTAATTAAAATCGGAAAGTTACTGGAAATTGAAAGTATGCAATCAAGAAATTTACATATGTACTACAAATGTGATAATTAAATTAACTATTAACAATTATTGACTGTATTGTGAAATGCAGTTTTAAATTAGTAAAAAAAAAATATTTTTAACTCCTTAGGTGCGGATTAGGTTTAATAAATTGTTTTGATTATGTAATTTAAATTTTAAAAAAAAGTTACTGGAAATTGAAAGTATGCAATTAGGAAATTAACACCAGTGTTATTTAACTAGAATATAAATTGACAATTTATCACAAACAAAACTTGCATTATCTCCATCTTTATTCCGCTAAATCACAGCCACTTTTCCCTATCGCATCAGTTCAATCATGACCATCCAATGAAAATATTACCATCTCACTAAGTTAATGCAATATTCATTAGATAGAGAAAAGAAAATACGAAGGGGAAATATAAGCATAACGCCAGAGGGTTTAGCCAAAGAAAAATAAATCTTCGCCAAAGAACTGAGCAAAAAAAAACCGAAATAATTTTCACGTCCAATTTCATATCTTTGAAGGTACTTAATGATTCAAGACATTCTGCGGCGACACTTTTGGCAATATATTTTTTAGTAAGTGCGAAACATAAAGGCTGGCAATTTTCTACACTGTCTTGATTTTACTTTACCAACTACTTCATGTTCCCAAACGCATAATATATATATTTTTTTACTTTAAAGGCGTGTTCTGCTCAAAAGTTACTGAAGGACGTGAAACGTAAGCCCCAACGGGACGTAGAAAAATCGTTTTTGATTTGTTCCATGGGGGCAAGCTGTGAGGCAGTTTGGAAAGTTGCATAAATTTAGGTTGCAAAATGTAAAAGAAGAGGTTAAAAATGTTTTAAAAACAGTTTTTTTCTTGTGTAAAAGAAAAATGCCTGCATTGGACACAGCTATGTAGAAACGATCCGAGTGGATAAGCTGTTAAAAATGGATAAAACTGTTAAAATGAATAAGCTGTTTAAATGTCTGCCGCAAATTTTTTTTAATGTATTTTACAAAATTTAAAACGCTGTTTTATTATAAGATTTTAAATAGTAATAATTTGAGAAAAGTAGTTCTTAAAACAGAATAGAATGGGGAATGTTTCTGTCAAGCATTTCATTATATTTTAACTAATTTTTACTCTTTCATAATTAGCTATTAACAATTATTGAAAAAAGTAGTATTAAAACTATAATAGTATAAATTATAATTTGAAAAAAGTAGTTCTCAAAACAGAATAGAATGGGAAATGTTTCTGTCAAACATTTCATTATATTTTAACTAATTTTTGCTCTTTCATATTTTGGTGTTGCTTCAAATTAGATAACTTAATTTTTCTTTTTGATTTAAACACAAATTACTACTGTACATTAATGTTTTCCTGTTAAGAAATATTTTCTTCGGAAATTTCTAGATTTTTCTTTTTGATTTAAGCACAAATCTATTTTCTTTAATTAATATAAATTAATGTTTTCCTGTTAAGAAATATTTTCTTTGAAAGTTTCTTGATTTTTTTTTTTTTTTTTTTTTTTTTTTTTTTTTTTTTTTNTTTTTTTTTTTTTTTTTGATTTAAGCACAAATATTTTTCCCCTTTAATTAATAAACACTTATGTTTTCCTGTTAAGTAATAGTTTCTTTGAAAATTTCAAGTCAATTTTGATTTTAAAAAAAAAAAAAAGACAATTGGCATTTATAGGTTGGTTAGTCACGTACGCACAAAATAACTTTATTTGTTGAGGCTTGTGTATTCAGTACACAAAAATGTGTTATAAACAAAAATCTGCTTAACGAATGGAATAAATTAGAGTATTATGACAGAATTATGATTATTATTAATGATTAAGACAGCACAAAAATACGTCCTGAGTCACGACGGGATTCGAACCCTCTACCTCCACGCCTCAGAGCGTTTGGGAGAAG